TTTTCCAAAGCACATTACTGACTGCAGCCTAGACATAAAAAGGGGGGCCCCGTCAGTACGAGAGGCTGGGCAGCACTCACAGATCCTCCGAAAGGTAGGAAAGCATTCTCAGAGTCACCAGCCTGTGTGTCCCTCTTGCTGCATTTACACTATCTGTAGTGTCTGTGCTAACCTGTGAATTTCATCTTTGGGGTGATTGTGTTTTATTCATCTTTCTGCTATCTTTGGGCAGGAGACATGGTTAGATCATGCTAGGCAATAAAAATGCCGTTAATTAAAATATATACAGTGAAATTAATTATGCTGTTCTCATTATGCCCTTTTCTTGGGAAAATAATGAGACTGTTAGAAACCCTGGTGGGGCCTACCAACACCAGCCTGTTGTGTTTCATCAGAATCTACTTTGTATCAGCCAGATTTGGCAAACATTAATAGTAATGCTTACATGTCTCGTTAACACTGATAACTCCCTTTAACAAACATGGGCTCATAGTTCCCATTCAACAGGTGGCAGCTTGTTCTTTTTACACCAGTTTCACCTTAAAGTACAGCAATCTTAACTACATCTGCAACTGATAAATTAGATAGATTTTGACTCCCAGAGCATCTGTAATCATATTGCTGGAGCTCCATGTGGTCATCTTAGAATAGAAACATTCAGTCGCCTATGATTCCAAAACATTGGGCTGATATAAGAAACTGGATGGTGAAATTCCACATAATAAGCCTGCCATCCTGATCGCTTGTACTTGTGGATGGCTTTAAAATGTATCTGGCTTCTGGCCATCCACTTTATCTGTGAATCTGGTAGGGCACAGACGAAACAATACTCTTTCAGGAGGGAGAAAGATGAGACCCAGGGTCAGGAATTTTCCTGAGCCTGGGGAGCAGAGGTATCCAAAGGTAGAGCTTGAACCTGGACCTCGTTGCCTCCAGCCCTTGGTTTTCTCTGGGTCCTCAGGGTGCCTCCTGCTTTTAGATTTTTGGTAAGGTCAAAAAAGATGAGATTTTTATCATGGTTATAAGCTCTGCTGAACTAGCCAGTGAAGCAATTTTCTTTCTTTGTTTGGTTTTTCCCAAAAGGGTTTGGATGAGTTTTGTGGTAACTTGGCCATTGTTTTGCAAACTCTCAGAGTTGCCGTGAAGTTATGCACTCAATATTTCCAGAATCCCAAGAAACTTTTTTTTTCCTGAGCATCTTTGAAGAGTTTTGAATGTCTGGGAGGAGCAGACCTAGTCCCATCAGAAAGCCCATTTTCTCTTGATGGGATGTACTGACAGACAGATCCTACTAAGAGAATTGTGGTTTAGGGTACAGGTGTATTCCTAGACTAAATGTCACCCCTTCACTCTTCCCTCCTGCAGCTTCTGCTCACGTGGCAGCATCAGTGTGGCCTCTTTCTACCTGCACTGCAGGGACTGACATAAAACACATGCTTTCATCCTCAAGAGCCTTTCACACCTGAGGGGGGGGCAGTAAATAATCAGGCAGAGAAGTGGATAAATGAAAGGATTAGGAAATTGCTATGTGGCATGAAGCGGTGAGGATAACGTTGAAAATTATCCTTCATAAAGGGTTTTGAGAGTAGGAGGCACCTCTCTTGGGAGACAACAGTTGATCTGAGACAAAGGAGGCAAATAAGCAGTGCAGGGATTGAATGAGGGGCAAGGGGTCAAGGTCCCAAGAAGAAAGTGGATTTGCATTTACTATGGATGAGGCCAGTGTGTCTGGGTAGCATAAGTAGGAGGTAGAGGGAACTATATAAGGACTCAAGGAGGGACAGGGAAAATCATGCAAGTTTGGATACCATTCTAGGATCAATAGGACGGCATTGAAGGGTTTTAAGCAGGAGAGCGCTAGCTAGATAGACAGGCCAAAAGATGAGAGAAATGAGAGACCTGATAAGTGAAAATTGCTTTTGGTTTGAAGGGGCAAGAGTTGGACAAAGGTCATTGAGTTGATTTCGATGTAGTTTATATTAGGGTAGCAAGAGTATGCATATGGAATGCAGTAGACACCTTCAAAATTCCACCTGAGATTTTGGGTGGATGGGGTATGAGGACACAGAGGTCTCCTGATCTGATTCACACTGCACAACTTGGCCAGAGCTGGGTAGTGTGCTGGATGACATCCCACAGAGCCTGGCAACGTGGTGGCAGCAGTTATAAGATATTTTCTCCTTACCCCTGTTAAGATCCTGAGAAGTGCTGGTCTCTTCAGACTGTGCTTACCCAGCACTTAGGACATCAGGTTGCTTAGGTGCCTGTCACAGCTGCTATAAAAGTAATACTGAAGTCCAGATCTTCCCTAATAACCTTGTGTCTAAATTGTAGTGTCACACAAGGGCGTGTTTGGAAATTAGCATTTGAAAAGAAGCTTCCTTGCTTTCAGTTTGAGCTGACATGGTCCCTTTTCCTCTGTGGAAATGAAATTTATTAATCATAATAAAACCATCGCATTTGGAAGGTAGAGGTCACCCTGAGGAGAAAAGGAGCCTGCTCATTTGTGAGAAATAGTTCAGTGCTGCTGTATTTTCTTCTCCTTGGAAGCAAATACTGCCAAATTATTACCTTGGGTTTTCTGCAAAGGTTGAAACTATGCCCACTGTTGGAGCCCAAAAAGGATTTACCATTAAAGAATGCAGTAGGGAAAAGTGGGAGCTAGATTTTCAGTAAATGCATTCAGACTGTCAATAAGCTGTTGCCTACAAAGAGGAAATTTCTGCTATAATAAAGCCATTCCTTAATTTTTTTTTAAAAAAAGTCATTGTCCCAGAATTGTATCTTCACGTTCGTTTGGTAGGAATGTTCTGTTATAGTGTCGCTTAATAAATTCCTAAGGATCTTCAGTTTGCCTTTGTAGTCCTGTTCCTGCACCGAACCTTGCTGGATGAAAAGTGTATCAAAAATGATCTTATTAACAGGTTTTCGTGTAGATCAACAACAGACTATTTCTCATCCAGTGAGGGTCGATGCCAAAGTTACGTGTCTCATTTCATCTCATCCCTCTGTGTATCTCCTTTAGGCCTAGTGGGTCAAGTCCCAGGTTTTTTGAGTAACCTCCATATACATTTTCTTCAGGAAACTTCATCCCTCCTTTCAATATGTCCTTTGCCTGGGCCTTGTGTTTACTTTTCCTCACAGAGAGAAGGAGAGTTTTTAATGAAAGGCTATTTCAATGAGCAAAAGGACCCAAGTGTAATCCAACAAATGGAAATCAGGAAGGAGCTAACCATTTGTTAGTTTACCTGAGAGATCACCCATAATGCCCGTGCTGTGAGGATCACGAGAACCTCATGTGGAAGCTGAAGACGGACCTAGATCATGTGAGCTGAGTGCCATTTGGAAGAGGCAAGAAGGGCTGAGAGTCAGAATACGCCTAATATAAACTTGGTGTGCTCCATTTATCACCATCTGGTTTAACTTGGAATCTGAGATTTGGAAGTTGCTTTACCCAGCGTTTGCCACCTACTTATGGCCCATAGGAGGAACAACCAAGTCAGACCCTTACCCTGTCTGCTTTCTGGGACACTGTAAAGGCGGGACTGGAGCCTGACCTCTTGCCCTAGCACCTGGCTTTTGCCAAGGCCTTAGGATGCCTCCTGGTTTCAATGAACCATGAGACAGAAGGTTGGAAGGAAAATGGGGGAAAGGGAGAGAAGAGGGGGACAAAGCACACACAGATTGGACTTTAAATAATTGGAGGCAAACTTAAGGTTGACAGTACAGACACATTTCTTCTAAACTTGTTCTCTCATTTAAGTAGTTAGCCAAAACCTGAAACGCCGCAGAGATCCCATTTTGTGGCAGTTGTACCTACCCGTCAGGGGCTGTGTGTGTGGACTGCGAAGGGAATATACCCTAGCCACTCTCTTCTTCAGTAAATGCTCTCTGCAGAGGGAGGGAGATGAGCCCTGACATGTGGCAGGTCAAATGATAAGAGCACGTGACAATGGGGAATAAACATGCAAGGTTCCTGGGAGATGTACAGATCAGTTCTAATTCTGCCCAACGATGTGGCCTACAGCAAATAACATAAACTCTCTGAAGGCTGCTTTCTGATCTGTTGCTATTTCCACTCTAGATACTTAGTAGGCACCTAGTGCGTCTGGCTGCCATCCCTTCTTCATTTTCATTCTAAAGCCTATTCTAGAAGTCATAGCATTGGAGGGAGAAAGATGGTAGAGACAGAAAAACTTAAGGTTGAGGAAACAGAATTAAAATGCATTGTTATAGAGGCCTCCCGTCCAAAAATGTAGTCAAGGATGGACGAACCACACGTTCTGGAGAGGTAGCACCAAAATCAAATAAGACTTCAATTCCTGAAGAAAGGGTGCTACCACGCTTTCAAGAGTTCTCCCATGCAGATGCATCTGCTCTTTCCAAGATGTCGGACAGTGACTGCAGGGACAGGTTCACTTTGCCCTTTCTCTTTCCCATACCTCATGTAATTCATGACAGCTAGATCAGGAGTAGAGACAGCCTTCCTTACATCTACCTTCTGGGGCTTGGGGCTTCTTAACACTGCTCTTCCAAGCTGTTTGATCTTGCCATTTCAGGCTCTGAGGTAGACCGGCCACATAGAAATGGTATTGTGGGAAAAGATATGTGTGTGTGGTTGCACACCATGCATTTCAGATAAATCACAGTGATCCTGTGAGACTGTACAACCTAAGGACCTCATAGCCATCTTAGTTTGTATAAATGCAGTCTGTGATTTCCAACAGTGACAACATCATCTAGGAACGCATTTCTCTGAACATGTCCCCATGATTAAGCAGTGCATGACTGCATGTATTGAACCATCAGTATGATGAGCTGCGTTGAATGGACCAAAGAGTGATAGAGCTCTCTCACATTACATGCTAGAGTAGTATGTTTCTTACTTTAAGATGAAGATGACCCCTTCCCACCGTCTTGGTATTTTGTATTTTATTCTTGGCATCATTACTTGGTAATTACACATCATGGATCAGTCTTCACCTCTGCTTTCCTTTCAGTTACGGACGAGTTTATGCTGCCGACCCCTACCACCACACACTTGCTCCAGCCCCCACCTACGGCGTTGGTGCCATGGTGAGTACAGTTGCTCCTTGGCCTCACTTCTTCCTGCCTCCCTTCCCTTCCCCCAGCTGGGACCTTAGTATGGGTTGACGGTTGACATCCTCTTACTTTCCCTTAATTGAATTTGTCTCTTGTGCTAACAGCAGCTAAAATGCCACATTAATCCTCCCAGTAAACTTGATAAATGTCTTAATTTCTTGGCAATGTAGTGCATGTAAGTTATTATATTTCTAATTTTGCAAGTCTCACCTAGCAGAGCACTTACCTTAATGGAATAATTAGTCATTTTGATAATTAAATCCATCACTAACAGAATGCAGTGTCAATGCAGAACTTTTTTTTTTCTTTTTTTTTTCCCTCCCTCGCTGCTCATTCACATAGCCCCAAGGTTCCAGCCCCAGCACAGACTTCAGAGGAGCTAAGCTGCACACTTCCAGGCCTCTGCTGTCAGGCAGCTGAGAATCTGACTGCCTCTCCTCCCCTTTTACAATTCATGTTTAAAGTCATAGTCGCCCAGGAAAGAAAATAGAGAGAGAGGCACACTTTGTGTGTGTGCCCAGTACATAAGAAATTAGAAGGAATCAGCTGGGTTTGGGGTTGTCTTTTGTTTTGGGGGAATCTGGGTTTTTGTTTTGGGAAGGGTAAAGGGGAGGGCAAAACTGGGCGGTGAGGGTGGGGTGAATTTGCCTGTACTTGTTCAAACTTCTATGCACTAAAACTCTTGAGTACAGTAAGACGTGCCCATCATGTGAGAGTGAATGCAATCATTACAAAGCTTTTGGCATGCAGTTTTCTGCTTGGATCAACAATATCAGTCCTTATCGTAAAAAGAAACCCCATAGGCATTCATTGGAATCGCCAAGACTTTTAGAAAAAGTACATGGTTAAGTTCCACCTCAAAGCCACTGGGAGCCATGGCCAGACAATTCCCTGGAGCTTGGTCATAGAAACCCAACCACGATTTGGAAACTTGTTGTTTTGCACAAGCTTAATTATGTCCAGCAATGCACTTGTACAATCCCCTCTCAAGGTCAGATTCCATACAGATTGCTGAGCCAAGCCAGGAAGCAGATTTAGATTTCTATCATGATCCTGCATTCAGCAACTCCACTTCCACACATCCATTTGAGGGATGTCTTGGAAAGGAGAGTTGAATCCCTACCTTCAATAAATCATCTAGATTCAGCTTTCCCCAAAGGAACACGGTATTAATTAATCAATCAATCAAAGAAACAAACAGAATGATACAGTGCGAATCCTTCAATTGTCCAGTTTGTACCAAAGTCCTTGTAAGCTAATAGGACTGGCTGACAGGATTTAGCTTTATAGCAATTTTCTTTATAAGGAGCTTTTGGGGAGGTCAAGACTGGCCCTAGCTTGAGCTTTCCAAGAGTGACCTGGGATGGGTAAGGGGGTGCCTCCATTTTGGTTGATTTTGAGTGTCTCTTTTTTTCACATTAGTCTTTTTGATGATCCACATGTTGCAAAAGGAAAATGTAAAAAACACACCCCTCAAATTGCTTTGTTTCAGAATGCTTTTGCACCCTTGACTGATGCCAAGACTAGGAGCCATGCTGATGATGTGGGTCTCGTTCTTTCTTCATTGCAGGCTAGTATATACCGAGGGGGATACAACCGTTTTGCTCCATACTAAATGACAAAACCATAAAAACCTTCCAATGTGGGGAGAAAGGAAGCTTTCCGAGGCCTGAGTATTGCAATACATGCAGTAGTGCATCATTTTAGCAACTCTAAAAAAATAAAATAAAAAAGAGGAAAAAATTACATTTTTTATCTTATACCTCAGATATTTTGTTCTGTGTATTTTAATATTGTGGGTCTTTAATTTCTGAAGGTTCTGTAGTTTGGTTACTGGCTGTAGGAGTTTTTTTGTGGTTGATCTAGAGAGATGCTAGATATGAATAAAAACTGGTTTAGGGCCATATCCAGAGTGCTATATTATGTAAATGAATTATATACGCTGAATCTGAAGCTACTGGGGTTAAGCTGTTTGGGAAGAGTGTAAGTGACTATAGTTGTCATTTTTTTTTCCTGCATCTGCATTATTTTATTTTGTGAAAGGGAAGGTCGGGAGGGGCTTAGGGGTCTGGGACTGGGGTTTGGCTGAAGAAAATATATATATAGTAACTGATGAATCTAAACGACCCACTGCACCAACTTTCATATAGTTATGGTTCTAAGTTACTCATCGCCAGTTCAAGCCAAAGGTTATGTTGTTAAGGGGCTGCTTCTAGTAGCACTCGTGCATTGGATTTTAATGAAGCCGTGCAAACCCACCCTTAAAACCATTCCACCCGGCAGGATTCAGCTTCTTAACCAGCCGCTAGTTATTTAGGCAAAAACTACTAGTTAGGCCATCAACAAGTATTCTTTTTATATTTCTTCCAGTATAATAAATTATTGATATCATTGCTGACTTTTATATTATGGGAGGGAAAAAATAACATTAATAAAAAGGTGATAAAAAGCACTGTTTCTATTTTTTTCTTTTTTTTCCAAAAAAAAAGAAAGTAATAAAAACTTAAATTCTTTGTACCAGTTAAAAAATGTATAAAATTTACATCTGTGCAGTGGAGTTGTTAAGTTCTAGAAACAGTCAATGAAGCTTTAGTTTTAGCTCAGTAGAACAACTGTTAGAGACAGACGTATAATTTTTATGGAATTACATGATAATCATATTCGGATTTATAGACGCATTTTACAAGTATTGCAGTCATTGAGTGGAGATAATCATGGTATTTTCATCAGCTTGGTACTTTTTGAAACATGACTACGTTGTGTGAGCAAACTGTAATTTTTCAGTCTGTGAAAAGCCGGCCCTTCCACCTCTCTGCCATGCTCCAGGACTATCTTAAACCAATACCTTTAGCTCTGTTTCCAAGGCCCAGGACACTTGTCAGAAGGAAGCAAAAAACAGATTCCCCCTGTTGCTCCCCAAAGAGCAGAGTCCCTCACCTTCTGTGGAATGCAGGGCCAGAGCTACACAGCTGAAAAATTGCAGCTTGTCTATATTTCTTCTGTTGGAACCCTTCCCATGTTGTCCTGTTTACAAGTTAGCCTGAGTTGGGGTATCTGTCACGGGTCTTCCTGTTTTTGTATTTAAATTAAAAAAAAAATACTAAATAAAACAGCAGCAGCAAGCTGTCCCCGAGTAGTTTTGCTGCCCTACTTAAATCCTCCTGTGTGCAGTGCAGGCCCTACGGCACGCACTTTAGTAAGTTATCAACTCACCGCTGTGACCTGCCAATCCGCTGTAACAACTCTGCTTTAAAACAAAACCAAACAAAACTTTAAAAAAAAAAAAAAGTGTTTGTGATCCAGCTTTTCCTTGTCATCCTATGTGCATGCCGTAAGATCAGTTGGATATTAAACCATCAATAAAGTTTCACAAGATTTGAAAACAGTTTCTGTAGCTTCCGTATCTAAGAGAGACCACAGTGATCTCGAATAGAGAAAGAAAGGGGGGGAAACTGCTGAGTAGCCAACAGCATTGAGATTGTTCTTTACACCAGACTTTTTTGGGTGGAGCAGGGAAGGGTCAAAGGGGTGTTTGAAAGCATCACTAAGACATTCTCATTCCCCACCTGGAAAACAGTGTGATAACACTGGGGGGCTGCTTGATGCTACTCAAGGAAGCAATTTGTTAAAATGCTGTGGCATCCTGCCCCAGAGGAAAGAAAGACAGTAGGAACAGGGGGCAGGGAAGAATAACTAGATTTTTCCCAATTGCCTCAGATTTCAAAATCCAGAATTTTCATTGTGTTTGGAATCACAAACAGAACTCTTACTGTGTTGGTTAAAGTAAAATTCATTTGCAGTTTTGATTTTCATCAATGAGCTGTACTTTCCCCCATGATTGTATGTAGTTTTAATAAAATCATTTAGAGCAAGTGGGTGCCGACCAATGTTGCAAAATGTTTTGTCTTGGCACTCTGCCAAGATGCCACTAAGTCATTTTACAATGTATGTCAGAGATGTAAACAAACATTTTGGATTTTTTTAAACAGTATTTATTTGGAATGTTTTCATTTATTTAAATAACTATTGCTATTATGAAATATGGAAAAAAGATTACTATCATGTGTGGCATATAGTGACTTCTTAACACACACATCACGCAATCTGCAAACCCAGAAAATGTGTATATCTGTCTTTAGAAATTAGTGTTTATATCACTTACAGTGGTTTGTGAATAAAGAAAACTGGTTTGTAATATCAAAAAAATAAAAGCTTAGTCTGAAAAGGTATATGAGTTGGTGTTCTGAGTTCTTTTGCTCCTGTGGGTGCCCCCCAAGGGTAGAGACCTCATCCCACACAAGCACGTAGCTGTGCTTGAGCCTGCAGCATCCGTGGGGTGGCTGCTGCCAAGAGCTCTTGTAGGCTGCCTTGGTCACAAGTAGGACAGGTGCCACCTGCAAGTTCTCTGGTTATCTGGTTCAGAGCACTTCCCTTCCCCATTGATCTGTCCCAATAAGTCAGAAGTCACAGATGTTTAAGCAAGTTTAGACTTCACTGAGCTTAGCAGTTCCCCGGCATGGAAACGCAAGCCTTTGGTTTCAAACAAAAACACCACCACACTCTGCGTCTCCAGTGAAGGGTGTTCAGATTGCTAGTGTACCTTGTCAGGAGGCATTAGATGAGGAAGATGAACAAACAATAAATGCTAGTGTCTGCTTGCATTGAGGGCTTACGCTGCACCAAGAGACTTGTGCTTGCTCTTGTGTTCCTGGTTTCATTTAATGATTTAAGAATTCCATTAGCATTAAACTATCCACCCCATTTAGTTGCTAAAGAATATCCTAATTCTACCTAATTTAATTATCTTAATAGCTCTATCAAGTGTGAGCACATGCAAAGTCTACAGAAAAAGCGTGCGGTCTCCGTTTCCATGTGGATTCTGTCCCTTGCTGGGTCAGTAGAGTCCAGGGCATGTTAGACTGAGGCACTGGCCTCCTCATCCTCAGTACAAGACTCTAAAACCATGAACCCCTTAGTATTGTTATATGGAATAAAGGAAGCCATCTACATCAAGTGGTTTTAGCGACACTTAAAAAGCTGCAAGCTGTGATCTTTACAGGTAAAACATTGGAGGCACAAGGAGGCTAACTATGATCACACATCAAGAGACCAAGGAGGCTGGACTGATGCTGCCTAACAGAAAATGTTCTCCTCTGGCCCATGAGAACTTTAGGGGTCAGAAGTAACACCTCAGATGTCCCCAGAGAAGTTTTGGTTTCTCCCATCTTCTTTTCACACTGAGGGTTGATTTACAGTATGGATTACACCATTTCAAGTATGTTCTTGAAACCATCATGCTAAGTAAAATAGACATGACACAGAAGGCTAAATATGGTATGGTTTCTTTCATAGGAGAAACCCAAAGTATAAATAAAGAGCAAAGTACAGGACAGATGTTAGGAACGAGGAAGATAAACTTTGTGGAGGTGGGAAGGAGATGTACGGATGGGGTGAATGGGAATTCAAGAGAATAAAGATGTGACACATGTATGTATCAATTCCCAAGAATTTCTTCATCAGGTATTACAAACATATACTAATAAATAATGCTCCCAACTCTAGAATATTTAAGGTCTCTTCTCTGCAGACTCCCTATCTAAGCAGTACAATGAACTTTTCTTGCCCTACGTCAACTGAGCCTGAGATGGTTACCCATATTTTGTACTCGAAAGATCATATGGTTTGCATGAAGTAATAGCGATTTGGAAGCCAACTGCATACAAAGATCTGCCTAAGTCTATGCCCTCTGAAAGCTTTGGTGCCATTTTTGATAATGAAGGTTATGGCAATGTCAAGTTGAAGTTCTCTTTTGTCTTCCAACAAAATTTGTAAGGAAATATTAATTAAAACAAAGGTGTCACAAAGTTTTTCCTGGCAGGTGGCAAGAGGGAGATGCTCCCCTCCTACAACAACGGAGCCCCTTCCCCATCCCGTGGGAGGATATACATGTAAATGACAAATAAAGTAACTACACTGGACTCGCCAAAAGCAGGCTTTTCGCTAAATTGTAGGTAAGCATACACAATTCACGGGAAATGTAAAGAAAATGCAGATAACCACAGAAGTGAAGGAATCCCTTGCTTGTCATCCTGCTTATCCTCCCCTCAGAGTGTGGGCAGAGGTGGCGAAACAAGTTCAGAGTGGCGCACATGTTTTGTGTATACAGAGAGGCTGTTGTTTTCTTTGAATAATGCCCGAGAGGTAGCCATTGCCTCAACCCACTTACAGTATATTTCTTATGATTTTAATTGGACAGTAAAACCTTCTCCATGCTCAAAAGAAAAAAATTAAGCTGGAACAACTATCTCAATCCAGATTTCCCATTCATTACCCCAACCATGCTTATTATTTATGCCATCAGAAGCCCTTGTCTACTCCCTGGGAAATAAGCATCCTTCCGCTTAACACCCATCTTTCTTATGGTTGCACACACAGGAGAAAAAGCCCTGTACTACTTACTGACTGCTTCACTGCAACATACAGTCT